GGCCCAAAGGAAATTGAGGTTTCATGTTAACCCTTTTAAGTGTAGCAAGTCAATCCTTTACAAGTTTATCATTAATTTATATTTAACCAATTTGAGACTTTTTTCTATTTTTTTTCAATAATCTCTCATTTCAACAATAAGGATGATAAAATTTTGCCCCAACCCGCATTGCCCTAATCAGAATAGTAAATGGGACGTGGATCGAAACATAATACGTGCCTTGAATTCCTCGATCCATACCCAATCTTTTTATTTTATTTCATATATTTCAATTTCAATCGTATTTCAAAAATAAAAATAAGAATAATATAATAATATAGATAAATAATTAAATGGGATAGTAAATTGGGATATTTTAATTCTCATCCCACCCTATTATCATTCCTATGAACGAGTACTGACGGATCCGATTAGCACCAAAATGCACCAAGAACATAGCCAAAACAAAAATAATATATATATATATATATATATATATATATATTATATATATATATATATATATAAACGAGAAGATTGAGACTTTTAAAGGCTTTTTGCAGATTTAAAATATCTAGGTGTATTCGATGTAGTCTGTCATAGACTTTTTAAAAATGTTTGAAAGTAGTAGAGTATTAAATCAAAACTTTAAATTCCTTAAAACTCATGGGGTATTTTTAAATATTAATAACTTCTAATATTTTTACAAAATTCTCCACTTACTAACTTTTATGTACAAAATACAAATGAAACAATCTTACAATTTGTTTATCATTCACTTACAAGATTTTGAAAGACTTTCACAGTTTTTTTCTGACATAAAAAATAAAAAATAAAAAATCTTTCATTCTATAACATTCTCTTCCATCTTTCATTCTACCACTATTACTGTGGTTAGTTATCAATTTTTTAATTAAAAATCATATCATTATTTTTCTCTTTCCCATTGTTATTAAAATCGATCAGGCCCGAACAATCGGCCGGATAAACCCGTGACCCGGACATTGGGCCGGGCAATATCATATTATGCAAATGCAAGTGGCCAGGTCAAAAATCAGATTTGACTGAGTCAATTAGATGGTTTTAAATAATTGTCGAGCAAGACTAGCTCAGTTGGTTTTTTAACCAAATTTTAAAACTTTTCTCCATTGAAATTTTTAGGGACCAGAGATTCGAACACTTGACCTATGGCTAACTAGAGCATGAACTTACCAAGCACACTACACTTTGTTGTCTTTTGTGTAATATAAAATATATCTAACCTACGAATAGTTTGTTGTCTTCTAGAAATACTTTTAAAAAAATTAGTCCAAATTTTCATTCATTTTTTAACATCAAATAATTATTTTATATACTTATTTTATTTTAAAAAATTAATTTTTAAGTAAGACAAATTTAATAGATAATACACATAAATTTTTGACCAATAATTAACAAAAAGGGAAAATATGCTTTTTTAATATTGTATGCAAAATTATAAAATCAAAATATAATCACTGTCACTAATAAATGGTTTAAAAAATCATTAATTTAAAGGTATAAAAATAATTAGTGAAAAAGAACTTGAAAATTTTAATTGTCTCAAACAAAAAATATAAAATTATACTTTAAGAACTATTAAATTATTTTAAGTAATGAACCACCGTCTGACCACCAGGTCACCAGTCCGACGATGACCCAGTACCTTGATCGGGTCGATGTTCGGGTCAGGTCTAATAACTATGCTCTTTTCAACTTGTTAGTTTTGTTTCTCTTCTAACATTATCCTTTTTTTAGTTTTTTCTCTCGATTCTTTTTCATTATTTCTCCAATTTTCTTTGAAAAAGATCAATTTATGATTCAAATTCTTATAAGATTTTATTTAAAAGTATATTGATTTGTAATTAAATTCTTCTATATTGGTTTATTTTTAGTTTAATAACTTTCTATTCAAATGTGGTATATATTCAATAGATGCCCAAATTTGAAGTCCCTTTAATTATTAAGCAGGAGAGCCAAAAAGAAGACTATTGAGGCTGATAAGCTCAAAGCGATCATCCACCGTTGGTGCAAATGTTGAAACTTACTCCTCTCGCGGATTTTGAATCTAGGTTATCAACTAAGAAGAAAAACCTTGAGGATTTTGAATCTAGGTTATCAACTAAGAAGAAAATCAAGGAAGCTCTAAAGGACAAAGATATCAGGATAATTGGGATATGTGGCATGCCTGGAGTTGGTAAGACAACAATGGCAATTGAAATAGTCAAGGAAGTCGAAGTCGAGAAATTATTTGAGGAGGTTGCATTTGCAGTTGTATCTAACAATCCAGACATAGACAAAATTCAAGATCAACTCTCTGAAGCGCTTGGTCTGAAATTTGAAGAAAATACAAATAAAGATGCGAGAGCTAGACAACTTCATGAAAGACTTCAAGGTAACAATGACAAGAGCATTCTTGTAGTATTAGACGATATGTGGAAAGAAAATGATTTGGGAACTATAGGAATTCCATTTCCAAATGGTCAAAAAGGGTTGAAAATTATGTTTACAACACGAATTGAAGAAACATGTAGCAAAATGGAAGCCCAAAGGAAATTTGAAATCGAAGTTTTGCCTGAAAAAGAAGGATGGCAACTTTTCAAGGATATGGAAGAAATTTCTGATGATGAAACTGCCGACGAAGTCCTAAGCATAGCCAAAAATATTGCGGATGAATGTGGAGGTCTACCTCTTTCCCTAGTGGTTATTGGCAAAGCACTGAAAAAACAAAAGTTCCCACATAAGTGGAGAGATGCACTTCAACAGCTACAAAAGTCTAGTGCTACCAATCTTGAAGGAATGGAGAATATCGTGTACCAAAGTATAAGATTGAGCTACGACTATTTGGGAAGTGAAGACCAGGACTTGCTTTTGCTCTGTTCTCTATTCGCCAAAGATGAAAGTATTCCAATTGAAAATTTGGTTAGATACGCGAGGGGGCTAGAGTTGTTTGCAAATACTGACACGCTCAACAAAACTAGAGATCGAGCATATTCAATTGCCGTTAATCTAAAAAGTTGTTATTTATTGCAACCTGGAGATGAGGAAGATGAGGTGAAATTGCACTGTGTTATCAGAGATTTTTGCCTACAGATGGCAACTAGAGACAAATGTGGATATCTGGTGAAACATGATGGTTTGAAAGAGTGGCCAGAACATGATATTGATGAATCGTGCAGTGCCATCTCAATTACATTTGATAAGCTGGATCAACTTCAGGATGGGTTGAAATATGAGAAGGTTAAGTTGTTAAGGGTGATATGTCACAATTTGGGAGAACGTAACAATTCCGAAGAATTTTTCAAAGATATGAAGGAACTTGGAGTTCTTGAATTGAAATCGATGAACATTCAAATTCCATCATCAATCCAATTGTTGACAGGTCTTCGTACTTTGTGCTTGATCGGCTGTAAAATACATTCTCAGTTGTCAATGATTGGGAGTCTAAAGAAGTTGGAAATTCTCTCTTTCTATCATTCTTATTTCTGTGACCATTTTCCCATTCAATTAGCAAATCTTAGCAACCTAAGGTCACTTGATTTGAGGTTTCGGGAATTATCCTATCCGCTTCTACCCGGTGTTTTGTCAGGTATGAAGAAACTGGAAGAGCTGTACTTGGGACGTTATATTCCAATAGAAGGTGAAGACAAAAGGAACATAATTGAAGAGTTAAGTTCATTGACTTCTCTTTGTACTTTCCAAATTTCGACACGTGATACTCAGATTTTGATGCAAATACTACAAGCATTGTGCCTCAAGAATCTGGAAAATTTTCAAATCATCAGCACTAAAAGACCACTACACAGTACTAAAGATTATCGTGTCACAAGGAGCTTGTTTCTCGAAGACGATATTGAGGCAAATATGCTTTTGCAACCCTTAATTAACTCGTTGATGAAGAGAACTTACTATCTTCATATTAAAGAAGCCAAGATATCCAAGAATCTTGTGAGTGAGATAGATGGACATGGTTTCATTAACTTGAAGACATTGAAACTATCATGTGGGTGATTTCAAGTATCTTATTAATGCTACCAACTCTATTCCAAGTGACACCTTCGGTAAATTGGAGTCTCTTGAATTGAAAGGTTTACCCAATTTGACCGAGATATGCAATGGAGTCTTGAAACCTCCATTGTTCTGTAACCTTGTGAGTGTTAAGGTGTATGTTTGTGATGCAATTAGAAACTTGTTTCAGGAGTCAGTTGCAAAATTCTTGGTAAATCTCCGAAGTCTAGATATAACAGAATGTCCAATGTTAGAGGAAGTTGTTTCAACAGAAGCACAAGAAAACGAAGATACCAAAACTTACAGAAGGCTCAAGTTTCCAAAATTGAAAGAAGTCAATTTTGAAAATTTGAGAAGATTTAAGAGCTTCACATCTAGCGGCGTTGTTAGTCAAACATTGTTCAACCAGGTATTCCACTTTCCTTTTATGTGCATCCAAGAGTCCTTATTGGTTAAAATTTGTGTTTGTATCAAATCCAAAGAATAAGAAAAATTTTGGAAATCCAGTTTACTGGAAAATGTGGTCCAAATGAACTAGATCATAAACATAGAGCAAAAATATAATCGGACACAATTCATTCATATAGCATAATGGATAAATTTTGGCTGACTACAACTAATTGAACTTCGCAGGTCAACTTTCCTAACATGGAGGAGTTAAATGTTTTTCACTTGGATTGTATAGTGAAGCTACTAGGCAAGGAAATGTCAATAACATCTCTGCATAAACTGACAACCATGAGTTTGTATGACTGTGTTGAATTGCTGACCATTGCAGAATCTGATTCAATTCAATTACTGCATAATCTTGAAAAAATTTATGTGGTGAGATGTAATGCACTCAAAGTATTGTTTGACTTTGAGGGTATAAAGGTTACTAATGATGCAGAAATTGATATGCTTGGTCGATTAACAACATTGTGGATGTTCTCACTTCCAGAATTGGTGAACATTACAAAGATGGTTCCAAAAGGAATTCGTGTCTTCCAACATTTGACAAAACTTATTGTTCTAAATTGTAAGAGCTTAAAATACTTATTTTCACCTTCAACAGCCAACTCTCTTGTGGCTCTGCAAGTTCTACATGTTTCAGATTGTAAATCAATTGAAGAAATTGTTGGAAAAGAAGAAAAACAAGAAGGCACTTCAGAGATTGAAATAGTTGGAAGAATGAATTTGTTTCCTATGTTGTGTGATCTACTACTCGTGAATCTTCCACGTATTCAAATGTATTGCTCTCAGAATTATGACCTTTCGCTCCCTTCAACGACAAGCTTGACCGTTCGACATTGCCCTATGATGAAAAAATTTAGTCCACTCTACTAAATGCATCAAAGCTTGGTAAATATAAAAGAGAATGTGTCATACTGCTTGACAATCCTGATTTGTTGGATGAGGCAGGTATGTATGTATTCTCAATTCCTAATTTTCATCTTGTAATCTAAAGTTATATTTTCTTTTACTTTATTTATTTATGTATGAGTAATTAAGTGAAATACCCTGTCTGCTAGTTAATTACGTTTGCCGTTCATCAAGTAGTACTAGTTTACCAAGAGTTTGTTCAACAATTTTACTTGGCAGGAAATTGACTGGATCAGTTGTTTTGTTGAGACTAGATGTGGCTCCAGAATAACCCAGGTTTCGTTCTTATCTCAGTTTCAAACTTTGTACAAATTAATATTTGGTTTGTGTTTGGATTCATAAATTATGTTTTAGAGGTATAGCTTTCTTTTCTTGATGTACGACTATGTTCTACCTGGAGGTGTAAAATGAATCTTTGAGAAAATTGCAGCTGACCAAACCTAATTTTTGTAAAATGAAAATTTTTAGTCCTCGAACCCATGATTCTGAAAAATGGTTTTTATCCAAATAATTATCAAAATTGCTCTACGGGATATAGGTGAAAAAAAATAATAGAATAAAAATGTAGGAAAATTGATGTGTTTTTCTCAGGTGAAAATGGTTAATAGAGTTTGGTCAATGTGTTCTTGACAGAAGCGCTGGTCAATTTTGCCTACAAATGTGGAGATCCAACATAGAGGATGTAATGAGAAGATATTAGAAAGAAAATGGTAATCTTTTTGCAACACCTGTCCTCTGTAAATAGTACCACAATCTTAAGCTTGTAGCGATGGGGCAAAGGAAAACAATCAAGATTACACAATCCTATTATGTGGGATACAATTCTCATGTTATATTTCTAGGAGAGTATCGAGGATATATCTTAATTTAACTTCATTTATGTCGAATGTCGCTTAATGAGTTCCTTTTCCAATCGAATCATATAAAATAATCTTTACCACTCGAACTATATGATTGAACATCATTAACTTATTAGTTATTAGTTAAAGAGAAATCTACACTAGCATGTTAGCTTATCAAGTAATTCATTATGCAGATTGAAGGTCTACAAAAGGATTCAAGATACGGAGCTTGAGTAGAGCATCACGCATACAAATATATGTATGATGCCCTCTGACAAATTCAGCTCATAGGAGGTTGGCTGGACTTTGTAAAGGCGTTGTCCTCTAAATTGTCGAAGCTGCATCTGCTGGTGTTGTAACATTTGTTGCTTATGAATTCAAATCTGATTGCTTAGAGGCGATTTTTAATTGAATTTCACCATTTGTTTTACCTTTTCGTCACTATTTAATTGAATTTCACCATTTGATCCGTCCAAGAACTCCATAATATGTTCTTTTTTTATTTTATATCATTCTTTGGCCTGTCTTAATAGGCCCCCATGTAGAGAAGGGGGGTCAGTGTCATATAACTTGATGAAGGTATTAATTATTCACAAGCCATTATTCGTGGGCTGTGTAGGTTTAGGTAAGACTGTAATTTCATATGTATTTGTATTTTTATCCACGTGTCATCATTTAGTTTCTAAACAAGTTTCAAATTTTAATAAACGACGAGAAGTTAAATATTACCACTCAAACACGTTGGCTTATACTTTTCGGGTATTATTTGATTTGATGGACTTAATTGGACTTGACATGACATGTGCAAGCATTTTGTAAGTCTCCTCTCTTTGATCTTGTTAAAATCTAACACTGCTACTGTTCAGAGGTCTTAAATCGAGTTGTATTGATCAATTGTCAGGTGTCCCTTGTCAAGCCATATTGGGCCTTTTTTTCTTTCTTTCCTCCTTTTTTTTTTTTTTTGAAGTTTATAATAGTTTTTTATCATGTAGTTACAAAAATGTGTGTCGTGCAAGTTTTGAATTATGCTCCCATGTTGAGTGACACTTTGACACCATTAGTACAGCTCATCGTATTTGTATGTCAACTCACGTGAAAATGATTGAAGCAAGTTAAAATGTGACCAGTAGGCCAAATTTGTATACATTGCTAACAATAATAGTGTCCAACAAAAAGAAGACCAAACACCACGCACAACATTTCTTGTTTCTAGAATATCTATCTCTTGTACTAAAGACCATACTAGGAAATTGAACTTGACTACGAATGCTATGGTCATAGTTGATGGTTGTTCGTTTTACAAAGTGAAGGATCCTTTGAACCTGGTAAACAAAATGTTGAAGTGCTCAGCTATTTTGGGGATATGCATAGGGTCATCAGCCTTCCCCTGATGTTGGAGGACAACCTGGCATAGCTTCGACCCATTTAAGGTTCCAGGAAGAGCAGGCCTTTCCTCGTATCCACCCGACTTCGGTGACGTTCCTCAGTTTTGGCAAAGGCTCGTTATACTTCTCTACCACAAAATAAACTGGAGATCAGCATATGACTGGCTTGATATAATATAAAGCTTTCAAATTTACCAAGAAGTCAATCAAAGTATAATAAGAGTGGTAATTGGCTAAGCTTATAAGACCCAAATATGTCTTGACAACAATGTGTTGGAAAAGAGATGTACATTGAGTTTTATATATATTTTCACACATTCTATAGATAATAAATATTTCATAGGCAACTTTCGAACAATAAAACTAAGACAAATAAATTTGCCTCTTCTTCATTAGCTTTTGCTATGAGATTGAAAAGTCAAAATGAGTTTTTGAGATTCAATAATAGCTTTTAAACCCGTTGTGATAATTTTATCAAAATATTTCTTCTAATTAAAAGAGTTTTTAGAATAAACTGGTTCAATGTGACTTTCTCTTAAACCACTTTTGAAATATGAAGTTTAAAAAAAAAAAATGTTCCAAACAAAATTAAGACATTTTCCTCCAAAACCTCTTCTACATGAGGCAAAATCATCAGCAAAAGTCATGATGAACGGATTCTAAGACTAATAAAAATAACTAAATATTCATCTTTCAGGTTAAATTTGTAGAAATTATGGTTTCATGATAACCTAAAGCTCCATTCAACTGTCTCCAGTGTGGTTGAATTCAACATCTCTAAGAGAATTGACTTCCAAAATTTGTTCGTCTCCCCAAATCCCCAGTGCCCCAAGTTAAAGAATGAAGAGAAATAAGGGATGTTAAACATCTCCAAGCACCCTTTGGTATAGAGAGAATGAATAAAAGCCGCCCCCCGGGGCAAAGCTCAACTGGTTGATCAATCAACATTTGTCTTGCTTCTAGCGGCAGGGTGGAGGTTCGAATTTTGGTGGGAACCTGCGGCCAGATTTATTTGGTATGGAGTAATCACTTTGGAGGAAGATCTCTTGTGCGCAGAAGTGTACAGGCGATGGGAGGAACTTGTAATCCAGTTGAAGCATAACTCGTGATTTACCCCCTCCAAGGTTCTAGGGGCAAAGATCTTGGGGGTCCAGAATTTAGTTTAGTGTAAATTGGGATACCTGGATATCAAAAAAAAAAAAAGAATGAATAAAAGCCAAACCGTGCATGCAATAAACCCACATGCCAACAAACAGTACGTTTTATGAAAGCCTCCAGATGGTCAGTAAATCCAACGGCACAGGAGATGACACTAAACACTTAGCAACATCCCAGGCAATTAGCCCACTAACAAAAGTGTGATTGCAAGCACGCCTTTCAGCCAATTTTGCAAACTGAATACTGGAAACACGATTTGCCTCAAATCAATTTCAATTTCAACAGTCAACAGTCAATGGTCAATCCAGTCAACAGTCCTCCATCATTCTGGTTAAACAGAGTCAACATTATAACTTATTCCAACAGTTGATAATTCCTTTTTTCTTGGATGCGCGAAAAAAGAGATAAAAGAAAGGAACAGCTTCAATTGTACTGACTTGGTTTCATGATAGTGAAAAGTTCTGCTGGCAATTCCTATCTCTTGAAATCTTAAAGAATATTGTAAAGTTTCTAGTTTATAATATTTGTTTGCTTTCTGTCAAATTAGATGCAACATTACTCCTTAGCTTTTGATCTTGTAGTGCTAACGGAGAGAAAAGAATAAAGTGCAGGAAGAAAAATACGAAAGTGATAATAATTAGTGGGCATAAAGCAACATTTTAGAGCTAAATAATTTGGTGCAGAAAGAAATCCAATAATTTAATTACAAGTTTTCCACAGTGCCAAATTTTACGGTATAAAACTAAGTTTCATTCTCTTCATTACCATTTATCAACATAAAACATAAGATCTCTGTCTCTACACTTATTCATGAGATAGCCTTCTTATGCGGCAGATATATAATTAAAATAATACCAAGTTTCATTATCTATTTTATTTCTTCAGTTATTATACATATTTCGGGAAGCTTGTTTTATTGAAATATGGAATGTGGCGTCCTCGGATCACAAGGTAGGTACTTCCAATGGTTTTTCTTAATTACATTTTCAATCACGCTACATGTATATTCTCCTTTACATTAAGTTTGACAAATTTTCACATGGCATTCATCAAAGTGATTGATTTCTACAATACTCTATCACATCACTGTCCAGATTTTGACGCATAAGAAGGTAACCAAAAATGTACATATAGTTTAATTCTTACATTTATTCAATCTTTCTCCCCTTTATATAAAGGTTGAATCCCAATTTTGAAGGTTCCCACCGTCCCGTCCTTAGAGTTTTGTGAAGGAGGTAAATCGTATATGCCCCCCACTTTCTCCCCTTTATATATTTACTCTTTGTAGTGACTATAGTTTAATTTTTCCAGTATTGTCCATTAGAGTGACTGCAGTAGGTCGGCATCCTCGGATAATAAGGTAGGCATTCCCCACGTGTTTTTGTGCCTCATCAACATAAACAGAAGGCTAATTTAGACTTACTAAGTATTGAGAAAGATATAGACATTTAATTATTGATTTATGATACTATAACTAATTTAGCTTTCCATGATGCACAAAAGACTCCAGCTTGTCAACAAATCTGTTGAAAGGTTTCGAAACAAGATTGTTAATTAGAGGATCGAATCTTCCTAATTATAAATTTCCTTGGGAAGTAAAGGATAGAATAGTGTTTTTTTTTTTTTTTTTTTTTTTTTTTTTTTTTTTTTTTTTTTTTTTTTTTTTTTTTTTTTTTTTTTTTTTTTTTTTTTTTGTTTTTTTTTTTTTTTTTTTTTTTTTTGGTATGATTATTAGTTTTTCATTTTTATTTTTATTTATTTATTTATTTTTTTTTGGAAATCTTTGATATAGATTTTTTAAAATTCAATTTTTCTACACTATTTTTGAACCACAAATTTTTACAAAAGATACAACAACATTTAAATCAGAAATTATTTTCCTTCTCACCCATAGACAATAAATCTACCCAAAAGAACAAAAAGATAAGAAAGTAATATTAAGTACTAAAAAATTCATTAATCCGAAAACACAATCTAAATATGAATGAAAAGTATAAATATAACAGAAACATGCATACTATAACTACTTAAATGCAAACTTTTTAGTTTAATTTTTTTGTTTTAGTAAATTAATTTTTTTATCGGAAATGAATATAAAAATTGACTCTAGTTATAATTGTTGGAATTTGGTTTAAAGATTGAAAATTTTGATTGAATATAAACATGAAAAGTGACTTTGTATCAACTTTGACCAAAAATTCAGACTTAATAGTCAAATTATAAAAACTAGTCAAGTAGTTCGTCGCAATATATTTGGAATCTCAAAAATAAATTCCGGATGAATGAAAAATTGTAGTCCACAATTGGGAAGAAAAAGAAGGAGAACAAGATTAAAAATCATATAGCACCACCGCTTGAACGGAAGGCTAGCGCCAAGAGAGCGATAGGTAGGCAAAGAGTTTCTATTTAAAATATGTCACTGGACTCGAGCAAGAGGTCAACGAAAGGCTAGAGATAGCAGTAGATGCATCCCTTTTTGAAGGTTGTTGAGTTTTAAGGCGTGTTTTTTCTCCCACAACCTCTCATCTTCTATAAATAGGCTTTTGGATGTCCATTATGCATCTAATATTTGCATTGAGTATTACATCAAAATCTCTTGCAAAAACTTTCCAAAAATCATTTCATAATTTTTTTCTTGTAGAGAGAAAATTTTGTTCGAATTCGCTATTGCTTGTTATTTGAAGTGCATCTATTACAAGCTGTATCCATTGAATCTTGGGAGATAATGCCATAATCCATGAGCACCGTTGCGGGGCAATTTTGTTTTAAGAAAAAAGTGTTAATCACTTGTCTTGGATTTCTTTTCCTTACTTTCTTTTTATTCTCCTTATTTCTTTTTGTTTCTATTTTACAAAAAGTTTAATTACACTCCTGCGAATTAAACTTAACCATTACTTTGTCCATTAACAAACAACCATTTCCATACACATCTTGCCAATAATCTTAAGACAAAATTCTTTTATGTTCGT